AGTAAAGTTACAGTAGTATATGCAGTAGATGTACCTCAAACTGCCCTGTAAATGTACTTATATAATATATAATGGGATATATGTGAAGGATATGTGTATCTGTATGTATTATTGACACAAAACTGAAGAACTTATGCAGTATAAAGTTAAGTACTCTCAGTGCTGTCAGTTGTTATTATCTTATAACACGCTGAGCTCAGTCTGCTCTCTTTCATCTATATCCTTTCTGTCTGTCTGTCTTTCTTACTGTCTGTCTGCACTCCAGCTGCTTCACCTGACGTCACTATACAGAGCTGCAGTGATGATGTGTTTTTGTAGTCCAACCCTGAAGTTAGCATCATCCTGCTTCCTTCCACAAACAGCCAATGAGATTGTTCCACTGGAGGTTGGATTAGAGAAAATAATCTCTGTGGTGAAAAAAGGTTTAAAACACACTGACTCTGTTAGCTAAAATGCTAACTCAGTTTTATTTTGATTTTATTACTGAAGCTGGAGATATGTTTAATTTCTCAACCAGTGATACAAACAGATACATGAGGCCGCCATCACGCACGCGCTGGTTAAAATCAGTCTCTGGCCGGTTACAAACTCAACTGCCTCAAAGTGAAAGTTCAGTTGTCGTCAGAAAATGTTGCCTTTTCTGGTTCATATTTGGAGTTATTGTTTCTTCTTATTGGAGGAGTCCTTGGAAAATAATTGCCTCTGGTCCAGGTCGTCATTTTAAATGAGAATTGGTCCTCAATTGACTTATCTGGTGAAAGGTTCTGATGCTGAACCCAGTTCCATTGCAGTCCACTGAGTGGCCCCTGATTGGTCCCTGGTGGGCCCTTTCTTGGTTAATGCCTCAGACCAGATCTGATAATAACCTGTCTGTCTCTCTCCCTGTCTGTCTCTTTCTCAGGCGGACGAAATTAAAAAGCTGGTTGGAGACAGGTCATCCTTCCGCACTAATGGTCCCACCCTCGCAGGAATAAAGTGCATGATGCTCAGAGACCAGATGGACATGGAACAGGTCTACAGCTTGGACCTGAAGACATCCAAGATCGACGGCCACGCCTACTCAATATGTGTCGGCAAGAGCCTCACTGGTGAGACAGACGGGTAGAGGGACAGACGGGTAGAGAGGCAGACAGATTAAAGTGCAGACATACTTGATATGTGTCATGAGACAGAGTGGTGGAGTAGGAGACAGGTAAAGAGGGAGACAGGTGGAGAAGGAGAGGGGTCTGGAGGGAGACAGGTTGAGAGGGAGACAGGTAGATAAGGAGAGGGGTCGGGAGGGAGACAGGTTGAGAGGGAGACAGGTAGATAAGGAGAGGGGTAGGGAGTGAGACAGTTAGACAGACAGACAGTCAGACAGACAGTTTGTGTGTTTTTTGTTGTTGTTTTTACATAAATGTCCGCCCTGTCTGTCTCACCCAGCTGTCTCTCTCTGTCTGTCTCCACAGCTTTAGTCATAGCTCAGGGGACAAAAGACGCCCAGGGGGGTCAGCTGGTCTCCAAGGTGTTCGGCATCGTTGATTACCTGCGAAAAGCCAATATGTGAGACAGGACGGCCGCCCTCCCCCCGTACCCTCCAAACGAGATCCACCCCAGCCTCCCTCTGCGTATCGACTCAAGAAGATGGCCGCTGTCCCAAGCTTGTTTAGTTTTTTATAATGTGTGCCATCAGGGATGAATAAAGTGTTTAAAGTGTTAGTGAGCGAGGAGCTCAGTGGTTGGCTCACAGAACCAGAGTTACAGTTGTTACAGTGCAAGAGACTGCGTCCAGTCCCAGTCCGAGGAAATAAAACAGCAATATGTTTATTCTCAAACACTGTCAGAGGGTTTCTGTCTCTGTGTGGACTCTGTCTTTGTGTGGACTCTGTCTCTGTGAGGACTCTGTCTCTGTGTGAAATGGTTTTAAGGTTCAGGTTAGAACCAGGTTTAGATTAGGGTAAGGTACTGTGGGGGGCGTTATGTCAATGTAAAGAGTGAGTGTGTGTGTCAGCTTTTATTAGGACACAATATATCTGTGAAGAGAAATTATTACTATTATTATTATT